AAGAAGAATTGGGGCCCTAGGCGGTTCGGCTCAGTGGATAGTGTCAGCCTGCAGATAGAAGGATCCTGGGTTCAATTCCGGTCAAGGGCATGGACCTCGGTTGCAGGCTCCTCCCCAGCCTGGGCCCTGGTTGGGGCGCATGCAGGAGGCAACCCATCGATGTGTTTCTCTCACATCGATGTTTCTCTCTGACGTTCCCTCCCTCTTCCACTCTCCCTAAAGGTCAATGGGAAAATATCCTCGGGTGAGGAATAATAATAATAATAATAATAATAATAATAAAATACATATCTTGTTTAAAAAAAGACGACGATGATGACTGGGGGACAATTACATTCTTACTGTCTTTGAAGCTTTGGGATAATGGCGTGTGTGAGGTTGTTTCCAAGACTCTACGTTTCATAATGATTTCCTTTGCAAAGAGAGTTTTGCTACTTAAGAGCCGTGAAAACAGGCCAGGAGGGGGTAGAAGCGCGAGTGATCTGGGGGCACCGGAACCTGGGCAGCCAGCAGGCAGTGAGGGCTTCCCACGTGGAGGCAGGCTTGCGGCCGCTCCATTTTGGGGTGGCCTGCTCCCCTCAGGCAGGTGCAGGCTGGTGCGGGCAGCGATGGCCAGCTGTGTCCCCCTCCTCCTGTCTGTGGGTTCTCTCCAGCAAAAGCTACTCTATAGCCTCATCCTGAGGGATTTCCTACAACATCTGGAGCTGAGGCGGCCAGGAGCTGACAAGTGAGTTTGCTGACTGTGGGTGGACACCGCCCCCTGCTGGCCATGCCCTGGTACTGCCCCCCCCCGCTCAGAGACCAGCTGTGTCCCAAGACCATGAATGTTAATGTTACATCTGACATGCTCGGCCTCACAAAATCCCAGCTGCCTCCACGCGGGGTGCCTACAAGTGGCCACCGTCACCGTAACAGTAAGAGAGGAAGCGGGGCCCAGCCGGTGTGGCTCAGTGGTTGAGCATCGACCGGTCTATGAACCAGGAGGTCAGGGTTTGATTCCCGGTCAGGGCACATGCCTGGATGGAGGGCTCGGTCCCCAGTTGTGGGGTGTGCGGGAGGCAGCTGAAGGAGGGCTCGGTCCCCAGTGTGGGGGGTGTGCGGGAGGCAACTGATGGATGATTCTCATCACTGATGTTTCTCTCTCTCCCTCCCTGAAATCAACAAAAATATATTTTAAAAAGAGAGGCAGAGGGACAATAAGATAGCCTTTTTGAAAGCCACCCACACAACTTGACTTCAATGACAACTACCTGCTGCCCAGGACCGCTTCCTTTCTGGAGACACGTGGATGAAGCAGGAATTCATCTCTGCCACCCCACGTGGGCCTCGGGGGAGGCTGGGTTAGCTGATGGAGGCAGCTGGTTAAGGTGGGTGGAGGTCTCTGCAGGGAAACGGGCTGCCAGGTTTTGCCTGGCGAAGAGGGGAGACCACTCTGCGTGCAGGCACCCGGGGTGGGGAGCATGCGAGCTCTCCTGGCTGTGCTGGTGCCTGGCCCGGGGGGACCTGGGCTGGGATTCAGACAGATGCCCAGGAGAAGAGACCACCACCATCGCCCAACCAACCCAACACAATCCCAATTCAGTTCTCCTTTTCAGAGAGCTCCCCTGGAAAAGCACATGGATCAGCCATGGCAACCCCCACTTACCCCGCACCTCACATTTTGCCCACACGGTTCGCTGTGCTGATGAAAGCGCTGATTTCTCACTTATCTTGGGCCTTGGCTATCTTGCCTGGAGAGACGGGCTTGTGAAGGCACCTTGGGCTGGTCATTCCCCCGAATCTGCAAGGCTGGGTTAAAATCAATGGTCATGAGCCCTGGCTGGTTTGGCTCAGTGGATAGAGCATGGGCCTGTGGACTGAGGGGTCCCGGTTTTCCTGCACATCCCACTGGGGATATGCCCGCAACCCAGGTACATGCCCTTGACCGGAATCGAACCTGGGACCCCTCAGTCCGCAGGCCGACGCTCTATCCACCGAGCCAAACCGGTTTCAGCAAAAAAAAAAAATTTAAAAAACCAGTCATCACAAGAGCTTGGTGTTTGGCCCATTTCCTTCAAGCTCACGCTTTGGGGAAGGCACAGCCAAGAACCCTTTTAAATATAAAACCCCCACCCTACAGAAAACACGCAGCCTGGCCACGTTTTTAGTCTTTTAATTTTTTTTTTTTAAGTAAAGAAATTCCATTGAATCAAAGATAACAAAATTACAGTTTTCGCCTGTAACGATCTTCGTTTACCACCACACGGAATCGACGTAGGACCCCAACGCAATATGAGGACATAAAACGATCAAGGACACCGCTGTTTAGTATAGTTTCTTAATAAAGGTAAATCTCCTCGTTATTTAGAAAAAATTGCATTGCTAGTTGCAGATCTTAAACACCCCGGTGCTGGAGGGTCCCGTGTCCCCCGCCCGCCCCCCCGCCCCCCAAACCCAGCAGCACGGAGGATTTCAGAACACAAAACGCAAAAACACACGGTTTTCAGGGCAGCAACGTTAAGTTTCAGGGAAATCCAAACAAAACGAAACACAACAGGAATCAGGAATGTGAACGTGATGGTTCCCAAAAATCAATCTGCAAGCAGATCTGCGAGTGGCTGACGGGAGTCTGAGCGGGCGGGGGGTGGGGGGTGTTGGGGGG